GATACATTAATTTTTAAAGGGTGACTGAGGGAGAGATGGAAAACTGTTATACTATCATTTATAAACTTAAAAATTAAATATTCAATGAAATGGATCTTTAGATACTAAAAGAGCTTAGAGGCAATTTATGATGAACAAGGAGCTATCTCTAAACTTCATTTCTCAAAACTCTATTGTCCTGCTTGTTCACCCACCTTGTACCCCAGATGAGGCTCCAATGGTTAAGCCTGTTTGTAAAAATTGAATCCACTTTCAAAGGATAAACATTAATTATCATTTGATAACAAAGACATTAAAAATAAATCTAAGTTCTAAAGGCAAACTTGAAGGCTGAATCCCTCCTTTTCTGGAATAAAAACTTCATACAAACCAATGCAGTAGGTGTAGATCCCTACCACTGACTACTTTGAAGGGTACAATACTACTCTGAATATTTAAATTCTGGTATGTTTGTTAAAGAGACAATTATAATATGTTGCCATCATTTTTTTCCTGAAGTTATTGTAGACTTTGAAACTCATATTCTGTTTACTTAATGTTAATTAAATTGATTTTTAGTCCTCTAACTCCCTCTCTTAAGACTACTCTCCTTACTTTATTAACACTAACATTTCTGATTGTCATCTGTATCATAATGGAAAAGGAACCAACAAGTTTCCTAATTTCTGGCTTCTTTGTATCTCATTGATGATTTTTATGCTTTTCTTTGTACTTGTTTTATTATTATTATTATTCAGAAAGATTAAGGAGAAGTGTGCATCACCTACCCATGGAAAGCAGGGTAATACAGTAAGATCTTGGGCAGGGAGTATAAATAAGCCATGGAACCTGGGCAAAGCATATGTGGCTTCTAAGCCTCATTTCTTCATAGTACAGTGAGCCTGACCTGATAGGGTTGGCCTAAGACAGAGGTGGCCCTTTTTCTGCCAAGGGCCATTTGGATATTTATTTCATTCAAGGGCCATACAAAATTATCAACTTAAAAATTAGCTATGAAAAAAGCTCCTAGATTTATTGAATTTCGAGTCCCGCCCGTGGTAGCCTTGGCAGGGCCAGACCCAATGATTTCTCGGGCCATACAGGGCGGGGGCTGGACGTTCCCCACCCTGACTAAGGTTTAAATGAGACATGGCCCATAAACACTTAGCGCAGTGTCTAGTACGCAGTAAGCCCTCAAACGAAGCTAAGGGATGGTGAAGGTGATGATGTTGATGCAGCATGTAAATGGAATTGACATAAATACTGAGACTGGATGTTTTTACCGTTGGAATAAGTAAAAGACATGGAATAATAATAAACAGGCTCATAGTGAACATTCACCTTTCAACTCCCTGTAGACTTACACACCCGGTGTAAATTTGGTTACTTACATTATGTTGCAGCTGATGTGACACAGGATGCTGACAGGACCCCGACAGGCCAGCACAACCCCTTATGATGTGAGGAGGGCCAGCTTTAGGGTTTGGTTCATACAATTTTATATCCCTTCCTACTTGACGTGAGAACCACCATTTCTGCAGAAAATTTACTGCTGATCTATCCCTGCTAACTCACTGGCAGGTGCGCCCATTCCTCAGCTGCTGTAAGAACTGGCTGCGAGAGCTCACAGTGGCACCTTACTCCAGAGAAGTGTCCTCTGACCAAGGACGCAGTGATGCCCAGAGACACCTAGCGCGGGAGATTGGGGTGGAGGCGGAGGAAGCCCCTGGCAGCAGTGACTGCCTGGCAAGGGGGGCGAGCGGCCCAGCTCCCTTGCCTCATCATGCCCGACTCAGTGAAGCCATTCCTGCTTCAGTGTTTCCTTCCAGAATCGGGCTGAGCTCGGGGCTGCAGATGGGCCCACATCCTTGCCCAACTCCTTCCCCTGAGCTCTCCTGCTTCCTCGCTCCTTGAAGGCTTCTCCTGGCGAGCCCCTCAACAAACCCCTCACAGGGGTTCCAGCCCGAGCTCCGCTCCTGGGGACCCCGCCTAAGAAACCTTTTTAGTCCGACCGCCCCTACAGCTGGCTCAGGAAGAGGAAGGATGTCCGTGTGGCCTCTCTTCTGGACGGATGCATGAAAACCCTGCTGTGGTTTTGGTTTCTAGTCCTGTACATTCAGCCCTCGGAGGTTAGTAACCATCAGAGCTTGGTGGACCTCTTTTAGAGTTGTACGTATTAACGAAGAGGAACCAAACAACTCTGGTCCCTGAGGCATGCGGGTGACAACAGTTATTTCAGTGCTTTTCTTGACGTAGCTTCTGCCATTGAGGGTGAGGCTCTGACGAGCATATCGTGTTAGCTAAAGTACAACCACCTAAATTTCATCATCACTTAAACGCTTCAGAACTGCTGCTAGAGCAGCGATGGAGAGTCAAGTCTTCAGTATCTGTTTGAAGGCAAGGAGATAGTTTACATGCCTGAATAAAACTATTTATCAGCTTAAAGTTTTTGAAAAATATTACAATATTTTAAATATTTTTCCAAGAACTGAGATGAGAGGGCTGACATCACTGGTTTTAGAAGGTATTTCTTTGCTCTTGTGGCTTTGAATCTGAGAAGGGGCCTCTTATTGTCTAAGCTAGTGTTTGGATACGGGGTTAAGGTTGAACGTTGTTGGAAGTTGAAGGAAATTGCACTTGGCTATCTCAGTTTCTACCACAAAATAGGAGGCAAAGTATTGGAGCACTGATGGGAACTTGGTCTTGAACACGAGGTACCCCATCCTCTGAGGCTGAAGCAAAAAGAGGTAACCAAGGGCTCAGAGAAAGACTCTTGCAGATGCGGCATGAAGTTACGGGGGAGAGGGGTGGGTGGCCTCAGTTTCTTGATGAAGTCAGAGGCAAACGTATGTGCTGAAGTTGCTATTTATTTGTATCTCTTCTTATATGACAAAAGTCCATACATAAAACTATACAGAAATAATATTTAGTATATTAAAATACATCACATATTTATTTTATATTAAGATTATCTATTACATAAATCTTTCATTGGCATGTCTGCTTCTTGGTGTGTAAACCCAAACTCTAAAATATTCCCTTGATTTAATTTGGAATTTTAAAAAATGATACTCTATTGAATTTATAGTATTTTCAATCAGAAAAAATATAACTGGAAATATACTGTCAGTGTATTATGTATATTTGTTACCAAATTTAACAAACAAAAAACATTCTGGCCCATGTAACTTTTACCTGGTATTAAGTTCATCATGTGAGCATAGAGTGGTTTCCTTATCAAAAAGCAGACATCACGGCATTTCATAACTGGCAGGGATCTTTGAGATCAGTGGCTTCTCATTGGGGACCTCACACTAGCAATAGAAGTTGATGATCCATTTTGCGATTTTAGTGCATCTAGTGGAAATCCCACTTTGGCCTGCGAAGGCTTTGAGGTCCTTTACCATCATTTGAAATCATTTCAGTTCACTGGGGTCACTCTTCAGAAGCTATTTTTTGGAAGTTAGGGTTCTGCATTTTGTATCATGGTGTTCAGTGTTCTTCACACTCGGGGCCTAGATGCTTCACACTTTCTTTCCGGGGTGTTTTGGGAAGAGGGTGTATCAGTGGGAACACCCTAGTGGGAATACAAGCTTTTATTCACTTGTACTCCCTCTGCTGGTTAGCTTCCCAGTAAAGTGGTTGTCCAAAAAGCTTTGTAGACGTAATTGAAAAACAAAAACAAAAACTTTTTAAAAAGTCTTCATAGCAAAGTATCCATAAAAGGATACTTTCAAAGTCCAGGTTCCATTCTGTATAACTGTAGGGTAACCCTCATTCATTTCTACAAAATGCAGATTCCTCTACAGTTTTAATCTTAGGTGTGCATACCAAAACGCATACATTCTTATCAAATAATTAACACATATCACAATCAACAAATAGGGACAAACCTTGTGCAAAAGTTCTGCTACTGCTACAATGTTTGAAAAACATTTAACCCACCAGTAGGAGAGAACAGAGCCCGGCCCTTTTAAAGACAGATAATTTGAATAGAGAATATAAAATATAATCACAATTAGAGGTGCAAACAATACTTTTCTTCTTGAGGATGTTTTACTTTTTTTTTTAATACTTCTTTATTGCTCTTTCTTATATTTCTTTAGACAACACAGTCATTTCTTCTCCAATGGTTATTTTTTGGAAGGGGGTTTCTATCAATGTTCTAAAAGAAGCGCCTTCGTAATTTTAGCTGAGGCAGAAATGGGGCATTTAGTAATTCTGACATTGCACTGATGCAGTCTTCCAACGTGCTGATTAAACAGAGGGATCATTTTCCAAAGTCCAAAGTGTCCAAACTTTATAAAGATACTCAGAATATATAACATGATAACAAGCAGGTCTGTGTGTTCATTGTCCGTGATAACCAACAACATGCCAATTAAAACCTAGACTTCATATTGGCACCAAACGAACATAGCAAAACGACCAAAGCTGAGGACTAGTCATTGTCATAGATGCAACCTGAAAGAAAAAAATACAAATTTAAATTTGGTTAGCAAAACATCTACCCTCCGAGTGTTCCAAGGTTGGGAACATGGGTGATTCACACACTCCTGGTTTAAAATATTAAAAAAGGAGAATTGGCCTATTTTAATAAAAAGGAGTTACAAGGAAGGTCATATATTTATTTAACTATTTTTGCTCAGTATGCAATTCTATAAAGTTTATGGACAAATTTATTCTCTATCAAAATGAGACTGAGCATTATTTTATTTGATTTGGCACTGAATTAAATGTACTTTGTGGCAGTCATTCTGAATTAGGTTAAAAATATTAAATATCAGTAAGAATAAGCTTAAAAGGAGACTAAAAGGCAACATGATTAACACTATGCTTCATGTCAGCTGAGATTAGTTTTTAGATCACAATTTAGGAATATATAATGCTTAGGGAACACTAGTGAGTATTATAGGTTATGAAATAAGTACCAGGCACACATATTTTTTTGTCTGTAAAAGCAATTTTATTAAGATTCATGTCATAATAAAAAATTTACCAAGTATTTTCCTACTCGTGTTTCCAAAGAAAATAAATGAGATCCTTCCTTGATGTCCAGTTATGTGCAAAAATAATTTTTTTCATTATATGAGTGCATTTATCTTTTCTAACACTTTCAAGTGACTCAAATTCTGATCAGATTGGAAAGTTCTAATTAATCAGCAAGTGATTTTTAGTATTTGTAAGAGCAGTGGACTCACTGTCTGTCCTCTGTGCTCAGTGCCATGGGAGACTTACCATCAGCAATGTCATCATAGATCTCTCCATCACTGTAATTGGAAAAAATAAATTTTATTTTAAAGAAAATATCTTTTTAACATTAAAGCAATATTTAGATTAAAGGGTTAATAATGTGGCTTTCTATGACTCAAAGCCTGTAATTTACAGGTGAGAAGTGACTATGTGTGCATTTATAAGTGGGAAGGAATTTCATGCTCATCTGCGTCTTCTTTCACTGGTTTAATCGAATCCTGTGTTTCATTCTTTTAAAAAAACGCCACAATTTATTTCTGCTTACCATAGACACAGTAATCAGAAACATGCCTCAAGATCACACACCATGCCTTACTCCTCTTTAGACCCAGCAGTGAGCCCATCACACAGCTGAGCTTGCTAAGAAGTGTTTGCTGAACTAAACAAACCAAAAAACCATGGAGAATTAGAACCACTGGGGGTTCTAATGAAAAACTGTAACTGATTCATTATGTCCGTTGATATCAGATTTATACTTTCACTTGAACTTCCAATGGTGTGAAATACAATAATATTTGACATAGGAAATGGATGCATCATTTTGGCATGTTTCTAATTATAATTTTAAAATATTAATTATAAAATACATAAACATTTGTTATAAAATAAGTAGCCAAGATATAGTTAGTATGGTGATTCTTATGTTATATAATTCTAAAAATATTGATGGTGATAGGCACCTTTCACAATAATATTTCTGGCTCTTTTTACACATTTTAGGTTTTACCTGGCCCTGAATCTTTGTGAAATATTCTATTCTCCACACACATGGAGTTCCATGCCTTGTAGGTACCAGGAGATATAAATACGAGTAAGACACAAGCTTTGATTTCAAGACACTTATAATCTAATGGAGGGGAAAATGACAAACACGTAGTGAAAATAGAAAATATTATAAGTATTTACTATAGCATGGAAACATAGGATACAGAGTCCAGAAATGTCAGGCGACTGCCACTTAGGCCCGACCCACAGCGGGTTCCCGTGGCGGCTCCGAGCTTCCACGGGAGGCAGCCGCGGGCCGCGTGCGGCAGGCGCTCCGAGGGCCCGCGCCCCCTGCTCGGACCCCTCCCAGGGACGCAGGGAGGCTTCGGCTAATGCAGATCCGGCGCGGGTGCAGAGGCAGGTTTTCCTATTATCACTTAAAAGTCTGTGGAGCCTTCGCTTCAATAGCTGGCAAACCAATAATTCCTCCGGGAGCACACTTCCTAAGCGCGCTCTTCCTCACCCTTGCTAGTCACGGGGAAGGTGTGGGCTCTTATTCACCTCCCCCCGCCCTTTCCTTGAAGTGTGTGTCTCTTACAGAATAAAGCCCACCGAGAGGTCCCGTGCCAGCACCGTGATCCGTGCTCTGGGCAAAACGGGAGCATTCTGATTTTCACTCTGTCTTTACTAGTTTGCAGATGACGTTGATTTGTCTCTTTCCGATTGGTGTCAGGGTGTTTGTGGATACAGTCTGTGAATCCTCCGTGCTTTTTTTTATCATGCTGAGTTCTGTAAATCTTCGTATTGGAATGTGACCTACCCTGGTCATGGAGTTCATTTCTCGCTCAGGTTTGCTTGGAGCAGAATCTCATAATGTTTGGGGGGACTCTAAGAGCACAGTGCTACCAGACCATGACAATGTCTTATTCATAAGAATAGAAGACACATTGACGTCTGTCTTTCTTCTGGCATGCCTCCAAAAAAGACAACTTAATACTCTTCTATGTCTGGTATGAGTAAAGAAAAGTCCCCAATTAAGGGTCGAGCTATAAACTGCTAATAGATGATGTTAACACCCACTGTGTAAACGATAACTGGACCCTGATTAATTCTGTTCAACCAACTACATTGATCAGCAAGTGAGATGTGCAGGATTAGTGAAAGTGTTAGTGGCTTTGACTTGTCTGTCCCCAACATTTGCAATGTCTGTCTCTGATGAATATATAAGTCTATGAACTGCATATGAGGAGAGAGAAGGGCTTCTTGTCTATTTAAAGTGACACTTTATGAAAACCTTAACTTTATTATGGGCACTGACATTCATAAGACATTAGTATAGCATATTTTTAAAAATTTATTTCTGATAGTTTGGTGGATTATATTATTTAAGTGATATTAAGAATCTTTCTTAAAGCAAAGCATAAACTTATTTACAAGTATAAGAGTAGGAAATGAACTTACTTGTCCACCAAGTAACTCCGAAGGACATAACCATCTATGAAAGGAAAAGGAAATGAATTTTATTAGTAGTGCAGACTTGAAAATTCTTTACTATTTCTTTTAAGCAACTGAAATAGAGTTGACTATAACATAGTATATTGAATAATTGTATCTGTCTTCAAATATGATCTGTTTTTCTTGTGTCCACTTTTCTCTCCTTCATTTCTTCTTCTCTCAACTCTTCTTTCTCTCTCTCCTACACATCTCTTTTCCTCCATTTACAATCTTTCCTCCTTTCCCCTGTAAACAATTTTTTTCCCTGCTCTAAACTACTGCAAATTTTAATCTTTTTCTTTTCTTTTTAAAAATATTTTTATTGCTTCCAGAGAGAGGAAGGGAGAGAGAGAGAGAGAGAGAAACATCAAAGATGAGAGTCATTGATCAGCTGCCTCCTGCACGCCCCCTGCTGGGGATGGAGCGCACAGCCCGGGCATGTGCCCTGACGGGGAATCGAACTGTGACCTCCTGGTCCATAGGTCGATGCTCAACCACTGAGCCACGCCAGCCAAGCTAATCTATTTCTTAATCTGTCACCCAGGTGACCCATTTTAGGAAGAATTTAGAAAGCATGGTTTCTCTAATTACAAAAGTAGTTCACAGGTAGGTATTCTAAATATGAGCATAACTAAGACTTAACACTTCCAATGTTAGAAGATTGGGAGAATCAGAACTGCTCTCAGATGCCAGCTCTCCAGTGGCTCCTTGGGGGAACATGCATTCTAAGGGGCTCCACAAAGCTCTCTGATATTCAGTGTGGAGGACCTTCCTCAACTGTTTTTGCCACTTGACGGTCTCAATCGTTCGTTCCATTTGCATCTGTCATGGAACAAATCATTACAGAAGAACACAGACCAGGGACTCTAGTATTCCCTAGTTAAAGAGGAAATAGACCATATTTTATGCAACAAAGCAAAAATAACTTTTTTGAGTACCTCATGTTTGCCCCTCATAATGTAAAATACTCTTAGAAAAAATATGGACTATTTTCCCCAGAAAATGTCTACTCACACCTCATTAATATTACTAACCTTTGAAATGATTGGTTTTGTGTTACTGCCTAAACTGTGTTGTATGCAGGAGATTAGTACCATTTGCCTTGTCAATACGGCCTCCAAATCACTTCTTTCACTGAGTGAGTCTATTGGTTTTGATCCACTTAAGTATAGTTTGGGTTCTGAATCAAAGTAACTGTGTAAAACTTACAAACCAGGAAGTTCATAACCAAAGATTTATACAAGTGATAATAAACTTACTTAAACATATTGATGTCATATTACTACTGTTGATTTAATATGCAAACACACATTTTTTAACAGTTAGGATCATACAACTGAAATTGTAGATTAAAACTCAAGAAAATAAACTTTGCCTTGAATATTCTAGGGTGAAAAAACTTCACCAAAATATTTTATCAAGAAATTCACCACCTTCAAATGAAAACTATTTCTAAGAATTATACTTGAAAAAGAAAGAAACAGGGTTATCTTTGCACTCCTGTCATACAGAAGTAACGAATCACGTTTCAAAATGATAAAAGCATAGTAAAATAGCACGTTTTTCAGAGTATGAAAGTTAGAGCATTTTATACCTTTATTTCAGTCAAAGCAACAGGAGCAAAAGTTCTTAATGTAAGAACATCTAAAATTAATATTTTTCATCATGGGGTAGTCTTCAATATCACAGTTCCTTCATTCAGTTCATGCTAACAGACTTTAAACAATTAAGGTATATATCATAATTTAATACAGTTTTTAAAGGGGGATAAGCTTATCTCTAACAAATTCAATTTTGTGTGTGTCTCTCAAAAGAGAAAATTGGTGCAAATAACAAGGTTTTAGAATAAATGGTGGTTTTATGCCAGGTTCCAATAACTGAAATCTGTCTTTACCTGTCCTTCTGTCTGGGGGCCAAAATCAAATGTGAACAGTTCTCTATAGACAGTAATAGTCTCAAACTTTTTTTTCACTAGTTAAAATTTGTGGTTTTATTTTCATTTTGAATTTTCTATTAAAACACTGGGGGAAAAAACACCCCAATACAACTGTAAGTGTTCCCATGATAGAATCATGTTTAAGTTAATAGTTTAAAAATAATGACATATATGTACTGAAGCTTTTAACCATTACAGCAATGTCACTGTAAGTTGTTGGGGCTTTACAGACCCTCTGAATTAAAATGAAAAGACAGAAAATTAGAGAAATGTATAAGAAATGATAAAGTGTTGTCAGAGGTGGGAAGTATTCTGGCATCAAATATATTTCTGGTTTAAAAAATTTTTAGAAGATTAATAGTAATAAAGATTAAAAACAGAGAATATAATCATGATTTTTGAAAATAAAAGGTTTTTAGTTTCCTGTGCTGTTAGATAATCTACTTTTTAAAACTCAATTATGCTAAAATTGTCTAGACCTGGATAAAACACTCTCTGTAATTAAGCACTAAAACAGTCCTTTACATGACCAAAATTAACAACTCGTGACACACGGTTTAATTGTCTAACTTCACAAAATAAATTATAAAGAATATATACTCTTAGATTCTCAAAGCTCTTTTACATTTTCTCCTACATTTTCTCTGACCTTGCCTGGTCAGAGTTCTAAGAAAGACCTTTCTCTTTTGTTGAATGTTCCATTTCGTTGTTGTTGTTGTGTGTTTGATACATAAACATCAACGATTGTGCATATTTTTAAGAAAAATGTATCAAGGAGATCAAGTGTGGGATGGAACTGCGCTGCTCTGTTCTAGTTCCCTGAAATGATGTGATAATTGGGGGCTCAGTAGCTATAAAGTGACTATTAAACAGCATTTTTACAGGGTTTATGACTTTTATTGCAGCATAGATTTTGCTGTCTAGTGCATTTAAAAACCTCTGCTAAAACTTCATTCTGTTAAAAGCATGCTTCATGACAGTGTCAAAACAAGCAACTTGCCGTGAATTTTTATATAATCTCTCCATTATAGTTCCTAGAAATTTCTTTTTTTTTTTTGCAGTAGACAAATGCTCTCTTAGCTCACATGTTCCATGTACATCCATCGTAAGGGAATGATAACGAAAAACACAAACAGCCCACCGGGCACGGGTCAGTGGTTGAGTGTTGACCCATGAGCTAGGACATCACTGTTGGGTTCCCGGTCGAGGTAAATGCCCGAGTTGCGGGCTGGATCCCCAGTGAGGGGCGTGCAGGAGGCAGCCGATCAATGATTCTCCTCATCATTGATGTTTCTCTCTCTCCCTCTCCCTTTCTCTCTCTGAAATCAATAAAAATGTATTTTAAAAAATACAAATGAAATTAATAAAAAATGCCTTACAGTTCTATACCATGTAAAATTACTGCTATGCTTAGTAAGCCCTATGATCTTGTGGGTTTTGGCAAGGATTCTCACTCATAATATGAAATTATTATTTGGAAACCTCACATTCACAGAGCGGAACACAGTGGCTTGAAACAAATGTTTTGAAATATGTGGTGGGGTAGAGCTAGTTAAGGAAGGAACACCCACCCCCATATGTGCCAGTTAGTGTCTTCACCAAACATTTGCCTCTATACAGCACAGCTGTGTCCCAGGACTAATGACTCACCTTTCAGAGGGGTGTTGTGGACATGAAATTACTAGGGAAATACAAAATGATCCTCAAAAATGGAAAATATCTTCATTCTAATGGTTCAACTGTTTACGTGGTAAAAATGACAACTTTGATTATTCATTATTTCATTTGTTGTGAACAAGTCCAGATATAAAGTTAAACTTACTCACTTTGGCCTCATGCAATTTACAAAACAATAAAATTGTATTGTATAGATTAACCCAGGCAAGTAGAACAATGTCCAATTTCAAGGAAAAATGCTCATAATAAAATAAGAAAAAAACAAAATGCTATATATAATACTGAATATAGATTATTTTATTATTACCCTACTTTCATTAAATGTACTCTTTCTCTCTCTTATTTCTAAGGCTTCAAATCAGGATGACTTTTCAAATTTCTGAATTTAAAATTTTTTCTTCAGTGAGCATGTGTTGTTTTAAAGCTAAAAACAAGCCCGGCAGAGTGATGCCCAGTGGCTGAGCATCGACCTAGGATCCAGGAGATCGGGGTTCGATTCCCGCTCAGGGCACGTGCCCAGGTTGTGGGCTCGATCCCCAGTTGAGGGCCTGCAGGAGGCAGCTCATCAATGANTTCGATTCCCGCTCAGGGCACGTGCCCAGGTTGTGGGCTCGATCCCCAGTCGAGGGCCTGCAGGAGGCAGCTCATCAATGACTCTCATCATGGATGTTCCTCTCTCTGAAATCAATAAAAATATATTTTAAAAACAAAACAAAACCGAAAAACTAAAAACAAAATTACTTATGCAAGGAAATGATCAGTTGGATTTGGGAACGTTTAAACCTTTATAACCCCTCTTTGATGCGCAAAAAGAAATGGAGGACATTTTAGCCACAAATAGCTCATGTCTCATTGCATATTTCTGTGGAAAATTTTTCTCCAGTGACAGCTCCTGAGACATTGGGTTGTGGAATATGCACAAATACTAGGGAGAAATTCTAAACATGTGGGAATGTGCCAGAAATATCTGCTTAAGATCTCAGCGCCTCTGTGAGCCGCGCTTCCCGAGCCAGCGGCTGAGACTTGATCGGATGTGCTAATGCCGGTGAGAGAGGCCGTGCTCCACTCCACAATGGGAGGGGATTAGCGTTAATGCCTTCGCCTCCAGTTTCCATCATTACCAACCTCGGGTGAAAGTAAGCTGTGTTTTCTTTCCTTTGATGGATTAAAAAAGAATGGAGAGTAAGGAAAATGTTAGGGCCACCACGGTGTTGGATTGCAAATGCCTTTGCTCCTAATCAGATGGTGCAGAAACAAGGAACTGAAAGATTTAGAGGCTCCTAAATGATACACAACAAGTAAACCACATTACTCAGGCTGAGACAGGGAACTACAGTTTTCTAACCAGTTACACTATTCAACAGACATTTTCCTGTGAGTTGTCTGTATGTCAGACTTTTATCTGGTTCCCCAACTGCAATCTCCAAGTTGTCAAATTCAATTCAGCAAGCACTAAGCAATGTGCCAGGCACTGTAGAATGTGTTGGCATAACAATGTTGAGAATGTTTTGTTGAAGCTACTCTCAAGCTCAGTTTAATAAGAATAATAGATTGGTAAAATAAAATAAAATAAAAATAAGGCATTTAAAGCAGCAAAATAGTATCATGGTGGAGCAGGGGAGATATTAATTGTGATGGGGTGGCTGGGGAGTAGGGAGTGGATGTGTGTCCAATTTTAGTGGCAACTGGTGTTTTTTGTTTGTTTTATCTTTATTTTTTATTGATTTCAGAGAGAGGGAGGGAGAGGAAGAGAGAGATAGACACATCAATGATGAGAGAGTCATTGATGAGCTGCCTCCTGCACACCCCCTGCTGGGGATGGAGCCCACAACCCGGGCATGTGCCCTGACCGGGAATTGAACCTCGATCTCCTGGATCATAGGTCGATGCTCAACCGCTGAGCCACGGCCAGCTGGGTCTGGGTTGTTTTTAATAGACGATTATGGGCATTCCAAGTAGAATAAAATAGTGTAGAAGGGTGAAATAGCATATTTTATGGAAGGAATGACAAGCACGTAGTTTGTAATTCCGGAGTATCAGTTGCAGATGGGAAATAGTTGATGAGGGTGAGGCTAGATCAGAAAGTTTTCTGAACTAGCCTGAAGACTTTGTGTTTTAAAAATAATATGTGGGTAACAGTGTGGTGAGTGGATTAGCTGAGAGTAAGGGTAAAGTAGACATATTCAAAAGGTTATTGTAACAATCTAGGTGAGGGAATGTTAAACCCATGCAGCAACCATCCCAAATTCTTCTATAGAGGTATGTGTGGAATTGAGCATCAATTTAGAAAATTAAGAAAGTCAAGGATCCAGTTCAAGGAAGGAATAAGCAGGAGGTTTAGAAACATTAAGAAAAGGGGGAGAAAAATGACAAGTAAAATTAAGCAGATATAATAATCAGATCTTGGAATAATACTTGATTTGAAAGTCAGTACAGAGTCTCCTGATGACCTTCCCACATACCTTCGCCTTTACCACCTCAGGGCCTTTTGACTCAACTTTCAACACACAGCACTTGCATTTTTATTTTTTACCAATGGTTTTTCTCTGGCTTCTAGAACTCTCTTCATCAGCTTGAATGGCTTTCCACCTTCCCAGGAGCAGGCTTCCACTCCTGACAAAGGGGAGTTGTATAAATACTGGAATTTATTTCCCACTGGAAGGGACAGCTGCCTCTCCAAGCTCCCTACTAGTTTAAGCTTCGATTACCCACGTGGTAACTGCCTCCCTTCCCTGTCTATGTCTTCACTAACCTACACATGTGGCCCAGGATCTCCTCCCAAATGGAGAAGCGAAACTAAGAGTCCAACCCAAAGACAGTCTTTAAGTAAAAGCAACAGGTACACTCATGCTACTGATGTAATCATCTGGTTTCCATCCTGCTTGAGGTGGACCCCCAGACCACCTAAGAATTGCAAAGTGTGTTAGTACTACACCAGGGAAAAATGATAAAGGTTACATGGATTCCTTGAGTGTCATCTACCAGAATTTTATGTAATGTTTTCACCTCTCATTTTTAAAAGATGATAAATTCCGAGAGGACAGGAGCTCCCCAGTATTCATCACAATATTTAGGATTATTGATGCCCAGACAGGAAATGATAGCAGATTACAGAATAATCTCTGAAAGTCTACTGCTTTTCTTTGTTCTTAAGGTCCACTGGTTCCTAGGAAGTAGGCATCTCTTCCGAATTTCTGTTTCTAGTGCTGTTATCTGTTCCTGCTCACCTATATCTCCACCTATACATGTTTGTTGTTGAAGTCAGCTCCATCCTTGCTACTCAGAATGTGTTCCATCGACCAGCCCCATCAGTCACCTGGGAGCTTGGCAAGACGCAGAATGTCACACCTCACCTCAGATCTGCTGAATTAGACTCCGCGTGTTCAACAAGTCCCCGTGTGCTGTGTATGCACTTTGACGTCGGGGCACATTGCTCCAAATGGGGTTTACTGCTGGGGACAGAGTCTCGGAACAGCATGGCAAGTGCAAGGAGTGTGTGGAGCGTGTGCCCTGGAGGTGCCCCTGGCAAGCACCAGGGCCATTCTCTGCTGTGAAATATGCGAAATACTTTGGAAAGTAGAGGAAGGGAGACATATTATTGAGGTCCATCAACCTAATCAGCCACTATTAGCATTTTAGTTTCTTTTCTTTCCATAATTTTTAACCTGCCTGTAAATCCTATCCCACATTAAGCAGGCTTCTTCTTTGTCTTCCTGTTGTGTCCTGAGAATTTCCTGCCGCTGTTATTTTCATGATCATCATGTAAAATATTCAATTTGGCATATTTGCCATAACTTATCTAACAGTTTCAAATTTTTGAACATGTTAAATATTTTTGATGACCTTTCCATGCTTATAGTTTTTCTGCACTGAAGGCTATTCCTTGGGGCCCATGCTCCCAAATGCTAGTCCGAAGGGGTTTTCTTTGTTTCCTGGAGCTCTGTTTACACTTTATCTCCAGTGAGCTTTGACTCTTAACACTGCACCCCCTCCCCCGCCTTTTATCCTTCCTACCCACATCCCACTTTCTCCCTTTAGAAGCCAACCGCACCTCCTCCATGAGAACTTCGGATCCACTTTCCCCACCTTCGAGTCACCATGTTTTGTCCTTGAGGCTGCATTTCAGTCCCTGTCCCTGAGTCACCTTCCTGCCGTGAGACTCTGCCTCAGAGGTCACCTGTTCTGTGCAGACTGACCTAGCTGACGATGCTGGCTTATCCAATTTTAAATACAGGACAACACAGCTCTGAATTACTCTTTCCTTGACTTTAACTTACGTAAGCTTCCTTTTTAAAATTTGACAAAAACGCTTCCATCTGCTGCTTTCACAGCTGACAGAGTCAAACAGGACAAGGACTGCCTTGTCGTCACTTGAAACAGTATGTCACATTAAATGTGTCCACGTAGGAAATGAAAACAAGTGAATCTGCAAGGTAGGCGAATGGAAATTCTAGGTGTGACATGTGCTATGTAATTTCAGAGCCAGGCCAGAGAGGGTGCCCCTCGCTACGCTAGCGCTGTGACAAGAAGCCAGGGGAGAGGCGTGGTCACGGGTTCCCTCCGGCCCCCAGAGCCGGAGACTCAGCAAGTCCAAGGGAGGGGGGTCCAGGCACCTGCAGTTTCAGCACACACAGGGTCTCCTGGTGCTGGGTGGCTGTGGGCCCCCTTTTGAGAAGCACAAATTTGGCGCTGCAGTGGGAAATAACAGCAGGTGAGAAAAGAGAGGAAAATCAAACACGTTCACTGCAACACAGCAAAGTTCTTAGTGTTTCCCGTAACCCACAAAGCATAGAACAGAAGAGTTAATAACAGCAGGGGTGACCGCTGAACCTTGTTTGGTTGTTCAACCCTGGAGGGCTTCTAGGTGGAGTAGTCAGTGACTTACATTTGCCTTCCTCATTCCTGCAGAGGACTTTCGTATCGTCGGTGTTCTGTATCACTTCAAGAGATTCACCAGGCTTCACCTGTAGCTCTCTGTTCCCCCACTTTTTAGAAGTTAATGATGGATCGACCGTGGTTGAATATAGGACCCTAATTTCACCATCATACTGGAAAAAACACATTATTGATTCATGAGTATTATTAAAGTAATTCATTTACTGATATGTTTATGAAGAAAGCCTTTGCTAAATAAACAGCTCCTTGTTTTTAAGAGATAAAGACACTGAAGAAAAGTTTTTTTGGGGAAAAATTACATATAACCTCACCATCCTAATATAATATCTATTTTTAAAATTTAAAAAAATTGAAAGTTTAAGGTGTACATTTATTACTTCAATACACTCATATATTTCAAAATTACCACCACTGTATTTAGCTAACACCTCAATCACCTTGCATAATTACCATTTCTTTTTGTGGTGACAACACATAAGATTTTCTCTTTTGGCAACTTGCAAGTGTATAATTCAGCTTTGGTAGCTGTAATCACCATGCTGTACATTAAATCCCTAAAACTTACCTGTCTTATAACTGAAAGTGTGCACCCTGTGCCCTCTGACCAGCATCTCCCCATTTCTCCCTCCCCGCCAGCCCCTGGTAACCACCATTCTCCTCTACTTTTTATGAGTTTGGCTTTTTTTAGATTCCACATTTAGAGGAGATCATACAGTATCTGTCTTCCTCTGTCTGGCTTATTTCACTTAGTATTTTGCCCACGAGGTCCCTCCATGCTGTCACAAATGGCAGGATTTTCTTTTTTTCACGGTTGAATATATTCCGTTGTATATATACAACTGTTTTATCCATGTTATTTTTAGATTACCTTCTTATCGAAGTTCAAAGGACAGCTAAATTGAGATTATTTCAGTATATATATTATGCATGTATGAGTTTGCTTAATTTGTTATAGGAGTAAATCTAAACAAAATAAATTTTGTAGAAAATAAAGGAGTTATGATGGATAACTGTGATATTAATAATTACACTTTTAAAATATGCATTTTGGAACTTAAACATCGTAGGATTTTTTTTTTATTAGCACTTTGAACTTTGTATGGTATTTAAATGTGACATACTTTAAATTTTTTCCTGAAGTCTTTTTCTTCTTTTTCCTGCTTTTTTAGCTTCTTAGGGTCTTTCTCTTCTGTTTTGGCCTTGGATCCTTGACTAGAAGGCAGAGCACACGTAAAACAACACTTAGTTTAGAAAAATATAAAAAGTATAATGTATAATAGAAACTTCAGTCATAACACTAAATTTTTGTTAAATTTTGTTTTTAATGAATTCTTTTTCTCAGAAATCCAGGATAGTCATTGTAATAAATGCTATTTCATAACACAGAAGAGCTTCTTCCAGAGAATACAATCAAAATGGAAGTGAGAGGTGATCTATGATGCTGAACTGCTTGAAGTCGCTGAGGAATAGTTTAAACAGGGTCGCAGAGCAGCAGTTTCAGATGATTCAGCCTGTTCCTGACCCCTTATGTTTGTCATCCCTCCCCCGATAATTAAATGAATTGGTCAATGTCATAGAAAAAGCTTTTAAAAAAAGAGCACTTTTAAAAAATGGATTTTCACAGCTTAAAAAGTTTACATGTTCGTTTTTTCGTGTCTGCTTAAAGTGGAGCCTGGGTGGTAGGTCATAGATACCAACTGAACTAAAGGCAATTGTTATGGGAGGTGAATATGCCTGAGACAGTGACTTCAGCTTGGCCACACGCAGGGTCACCTGGGAAGCTTTTAAAAAATAGCCCTGCCCTTGCCCAATTCCTAGCAACTCTGATAACACTAAATTAACGTGTCTCATTAATTAGCCTAACTGGGGTGCATGTGCTGACAAATTTTGAAAGCTCCCCGGGTGACAGTAATTTGCAGTCAAGGCTGAGAACCATTTGCTAGGGTTCTGTATGTTAGGGAAAGGCTATGAATCTCTGCAGAAGAGAATCAGAATATTAGTGAATAATAAATATTTTAAACACTGGTACTCATTTTTATCTAGATGACCTAAGATAAAGTTTTGTTTATAGCTGATTCATTTAAAATGTTGATTCTTAAATTCTGAGTCTTAGGATTTAGTCCCTTCCCTGTGAGGTGAGTCAGCACAATGTTCCGCCTCCTCCCTCAGCATCTCCCGTCTATACTCTGGGTGGTGGTGGAGTTGGGTCCCCGATTAGCGCTCTGAAGTTATCAGAATACACACAAAGATTAAAAATTCCACACAACCTACCTTTGAAAAGAATTTATTTAAAAACACAATACTGTGTTAGAGAACATAAAATTGTTTTAAACTCTCAAAATAAGCAACCAGTGAGAAAACAGTGACATATCACATTCAGTTTGATCAGCTGGTGTTTATTTTTCTTGAAGAAAAGGCCAATGTGTGACTCTGGCTTCCTAGAGAGCTATTTTATGTAGTGACATTTCTACAGTAACACAAGACAGAAAAATGTATTAAAAACGGTCAGGGGTAGGAGCGTTTCCCGATGGTGAGGAATATTAAAACTAAACATGGTACCGGAGGTTAGATTTCCATTCCTGAAGAACTGAGAGAGCGGAAGGATTCTTTCACCTTCCCTCTTTGCTTTGCTCATCCAACTTGATGTTGGTACGTAAATGACAGTGGATTTTCCCTTCGGTTTCTTTAATCTTGGTACTGCCCTTTGTCCGGTAAAATTAGTTTAACAATCTTGATAAAGAAATAAATACTTGGAATTTATTTATGCATTTTTACCAGTACACTCAGGATACATCACTTACTGTATCCCACTTAGGTTACTTTCATCCTTCAACTAATCACGTCCAGGACCTTTTTACTCGCCTTTTTTCCTCGAAAAAGCTAGAGATGTGTCTGCTTCTATATGCAATGTGTGTCAGATCATCTCACATAGTTATTGGAGCATAAAAAAGCATCCTACCATGCTACTTTCTATTTCCAAAGGGCTTTCAAAAGGTACTCCTTTTATAGGAACTGATTTTAGATTTTCTTACCACTTTAGCCTAATATTAAATCGAAACCTTAGGTGAGCTGAAGAAGGTCACTATTCACTGTTGACTTTTTTAATTTGAATGGAACTTTTGAGAAACAGATGCTTTTGTGAAAAAGAACCTAGAAGTCCTGTTAAAGATCAAGCCTTCCCACAGGAGAGGCTTAAACAAGGTGGGTGAAGGCTGGTGTGTAAACTAAGCAGCGCCATCAGGACAAGATGTGCTGGGGAGAGAGTGAAAATAAAGGGAGGAGAGGAATCAGTGAGCTCAGTGTGATATTTCCCCAGTGAGTGAGTGAGTGAGTGAATGAATGCAGACATCAGTGAGTCTGGGAGCAGAGGACAATCGGGACAGTGAGCAGGCCCACAGGGACAGGGGAGGCAAGGGGAAGGGGCAGGGTTCTCCACTGCCAACCTGGCCGCAGGCAGAGCTGGGACCAGGCAGGAGACAGCCCTCAGGACCTCGCGCAGCAGACACCCGCCCCCTTGGGCAGCCCGGTTTTATGGGTTGGTTGTGAGGAGGACACCCTGATTACCTCATCTCTGCTGCAGGAGCGGGGTAGTCCGAGGCATCCACGTCGTCGTAGACTTCCTCTCCCGCTTCTAACAGAAGGCAAAAGACCAGAGGCTGAACCGCTGCTGTCTAAGCCCAGCAGGAGCGCACAGTGTTTCAAGGACAACATGAGTTTCCCCGAGGCCTCTGCACTTCTCCCGGAAGCTCTGTCTGTTCCTCAGGGGGAAGGGTTCTGATCTCCTTGGATACCTGTGTGCAATTCCCCTCAAAAAACCAGTGACCGTGGCTGTGACTAGCATTCTCAGAGAAAAAAAAATAAAGAAACCAAACCAGTGACAGATTATTTGAAGATTCACAAGCGTGATGAATGGCAGGATAGTAGATTACTGACAAAAAAAATGATGTTACTGGTCATTGGCAGTATTGAAATCAAAATTCTCTTGGGATTTGGGGTGCTATAATAATATTTCTTTTAATTTTAATTTATTTATTAATCCTCACCCAAGGATATGTTCATTGATTTTTTTTTTTTGGATGGGGGGAGAGAAAGAAACATTGATGTGAGAGAGAAACATCAATTGGTTGCCTCCAATGAGTGCCCCAACTGGGGATCAAACCCGAAACCTAGGTATGTGTCCCAACTGGGAACCGAACCTGCAGCCTTTTGTTGCATGGGACAATGCTCCAGCCAACTGAGCCACCCGGCCAAGGCTCATTTTATTTTTATGACTATGTCTATATCTAGTCTATGTATGTCTATCTCTCCATCTATCAATCATCTATCTATATCTATCTATCTATCATCTATCTATCTATCTATCTATCTATCTATCTATCTATCTATCATCTATCTATCTATCTATCTATCTATCTATCTATCTATCTATCTATCATCTATCAATCATTCTCTTTTACTCATTGATCTGTTCCTCACTAACTTTTCCCTTACATTAATAGATATACTGAGTATGGTACCACCTTAAAATGGAAAGAATATTCTATTAATATGACACTTCTGATACCAGCAGGAATTGAGAATCAGTATTGGTAGAAAAGGGACTATGACCTGAACTGTTCAATGGCTTTTCCAGTCTGTAATACTTTTCCTCCTTGACTTCTGGTTAAAGGCCCACAGCAAATGCAGCTGAGGAGATGAGTAGAAGAACACAAAGGCTTAAGGAACCACCATCAGAGAGAGTTTAAATGTTCTCTGGTAGTGGCAAGGACTGGATTTCCTTTAAAAATTCCTTTCTCTCTGTATTTATATATAGATTTTTCTCCCCACTCAGGTTAATTAATTTCAAAGGATAAAGCTTGCTTAGCTCTATGAAGAATCCATAATAAACATGTTGAAAAAATGACATATTATTGGTTTCCAGATAAGGGAAAATTATTATCCCATTAATACACTTAGAACACATAAAAACAAAAGAAAATTAAAACAAAAAATACATTTTTACTTAATTGATCATATTTCTTACATTTTATACCTACTCTTTGTGGAGCTGTTTCTCGAATATGTTTTGAAAATTACAGATTAAGACACAAGCTCATTATTTACTGAGTGCCTTACACTGATTCAATTTGATTATACTTTCAAATTTATAACTCAAAACAAATTAGATAAACAGCCTGGAAGAATATATTATCTTTGGTATTGGTTTGCTCTTTCAATTTATTTATAAATTAAAACAAAGTTTTTGAAAGCCTCTGAATATTCTTGTGAGACATTTTGTTCAAGAAAAAGAAATTAAAGATCTGTTTCAGCTAAAAAAAAAAATAAGCTGATTTAAATTGTACAAAGAAGAAACTTTCATATTTAGCAGTGGAAAATTTTCCAAATATAACATAAATTATACATTTTAAAAAATAAAAAAGTTAGATCTTGAAGGGCCTGGCGGCATCTAATCTGATTTGTTTTTAGAAATCTTTATGCAGAAGTCCAATATATCAAGCTCTGACTGAATCGGGGTTCAGGGGACATGGGGAATGTTGGTGTGCACCCCTGCCTGCTTGTTCCTTTCTTTATTGTGACCCTTTACCACTGGGAGGACTGTTTAAAAACCATCAATATTTAGAATTTCCCTCTTCATGCCATTTCACTGTTGAGAAACTGTGGCCACCCAAGGTGAAGTTACTTGACAAGGTTACACAATTTCTTATTTTCAGTCAGAACTTCAACCCAGATATTATGACTATATCCAATGATTTCTCACTACTCAATCGGCAAGAACTGAGGTATAAAATATAGTTAGTTTTCATCACTTACCCAGTTGTTTAGGAGGAGAAGGGAAACTGGAAAGAAAATGAGAACACAATTATAATCAGACTAATAGAACCCAGAAATGGGTTCCTTTTCAAAGGGAGACACGAGCAAGGAACAGCCTGGGGCTGAGAGAGGCCAATCAATCTGCTGACCATCATTTCTCTCCGTCCTCCATTTCTCCACTAAGTCCAGTTTCTCTGCTTCAATTTGGAATTTAGCAAGACTTTTTTGAACTCCAATGTTGGTCAAAAAAGTCAAGAGTCAAGACATTCATGGTTTCTTCTTGCCGTAGCCATTGGGCCAATGTTTTCAGATTTGTTCTATGCGGTTGGGCACGTTATTACAACGAAGTAAATTAAATGGCCTCAATATTTTGGATTCACTGTGGCACAGCTCAGGCCAAAACTGTTTGACTCCAAGAGTAGAAATGCAGGATTAAATTTACAAAGGTCACAGGAATGCTTGTATGCCCGTGTTTCCCCAGTATGGATGTGTATGTCCCCAGCGGGAGAATGGTGAATAAGGGGGCATATCCACTGAAAAGAGTGAGGAAGCGCTTATTAACAGAAGTGATCCGAAATCAGCATTGGGGGGCATTTAGTGGCAACAGAAAAAGACCTTTGCTTTTATTCCTTTCTGAACTCTAAACACACACGCACTCACATGCACGCACATCACTGGAAGAATGGTGCACAGATTTACAAAAGTGTGAGAGGTCATTAGTTCAGATGATCCAAAATTAGAATTAGGTTTTGTGTAAATGGAGCAGGAAAAAACAACCTTGGCTCTTACTTCTAAGTAAGGACTATATTTGAGTAATGCTTCATCAAAAGAGGCTTTGTTATGTTTACTGATAATTTTAAGTGTCTGATTTATTGAGTGCTGTTTTAGTGTTTCACAAAAGGGTTGAATCATGTACCAGATGACATGATTAAGATCCTTCAAATACACATGCATGGAATTTATACTAAAGGGATGGAAAGAAAATTTATACATTAATTTTTATGTAGACAAACTGAAGATATTTAGGATGACTTTAGTATAAGATAAATATATAATTTAAATAGAATTAATATGTCACTACTGAGGAATAGAGTTTTAAAAACTTTAAATACTGTATTTAGAGAAAAGAAATTCCAAATAGTGTCCTTTATGTCTAGCAAATTAATTTTTAAAAAAGTATATTTTGAAGAGTAATCAATATAAAATATTATATAATAAAATGTGGCATTGGAATTTTGAGCTTTTAGATGTAATGTTACAGCTAAAAAAGTCCTATTAAGTGGAGCCTGTGAGTATGCGTGTGAGGGTGTGTGTGCGTGCACATGTATGTATATGTGTGTTTGTGCATGTGTGTAGGGAAAACAAAATATATCTTTGAATCATTTAATGGTTTTTAAATACTTTGTGCTCCTCTTACGAAAATGCATGAGTTTAAGGGTGAGACAGTAAATGAGGCTAAAACGATTAATTTAAAATAATATTAAAATTGTGTAAGCCTGCTAGAATTTGGTTATTGGTTATAAGGTATTAGTAGGATTTGATTAAATTAATATTAGTGTAGTTATTGTGCGCTGGATTTGGTTGGTTGGCTCTTACGATGAACCTTCATTATTGTCTGACTCAGAGTCTTTAGGTTTCTCTCGTATACTTTTCTTTTTGTCATCTTTTCCCTTTAAAATCTTCAAAATCCCCCAGGACCACGAGTTACTCTTCTCTTCACCCTGTGGTGTGGAGCTTAGGAGCATGAAGGCATTGATCAGAATGGAATAATCAGTGGAACACAAAGACACTGGGTGGACATTCAGGTTTGTCATAATTATACTTCATTGCTCATTCAGGCAGTGAGTTACTCGTAGTCATCAAGATGATGCCATTCGACTTATAGGTCATGGGCTTTGAACACCGCTGCTGCTAGGTAAGGAGTAAGTTAGTTTTTTTCCTATGTGGTGAAATTTCTCTTGGTTCTTAAAATAGTAAGCTAAGTCAGGATTAAGTTTTCAATATTAATTTAGCTTTATTTTTGATTAAAATTAAGTTAACAGGCCTTACAATTTAAGATACACCATTTTGAAAGTTGAAACAGCTAAAAGGTGGGGTATTCAGTATTGGTTTTGCCACAGGTAGCAGATGCTCTCAACCTATTTGGGTTTCCTATGACTATGACTATTATACAAGGATAGCCATTCAATTGATAGACTCTTCAGAGACTGTTGTGAAGTGAATTATTAGTTGATAAATAAATGATTGAGAAACATTTGCAAAATAAAAACGACAACATCTGTAATTCTCTATCCCTTTTCTTTATCACTTCTTTTGATATAATTGTCCAGGTGTTTCCAAACAATCTACCACTTCATTTGAAGTATGGTGCAATTATACTTCCTGATTTACTATGGCTGTTAATTAAACATTGGAATCATTTTTGGTAATTTAATAAGGAACACTATTTTCTGCTTTTTATTTTAACTACAAATCAAAACTTCAGTAAATACAGTAAGTTTTAGTAAATACAATAATTTGCAAAATGGCAGTTCACTGATCATTCTTACCCATCATCAGCCTCTTCCTCTTCGATCCCATCATAAATATCATCCGGAGGAGGTGGGAACATCCCTTCATTTGGATTAAAAGGAGAAAATATTCTGTTAATTTTGTAATTTGGTCATGTAACAGTCACTCAAAATTTGGTAATAAATATGTCTCATTTAACTGAACAAAGCGTGCTTCTTTCATAGCAACTATTTAAAGAAAAAATAATTTTAATCTCCAACTCTCACATAGACAGTAGGTAAATTGGTCTGTTGATTGTTTTAACACCAAAAAACCCCAAACAATCCAATTAAAAATGGGCAAAAGACCTGAATAGACACTTCTCCAAAGGGGACATACAGATAGTCAACAGACATGTGAAAAGATGCTCAGCCTCATTAATCTTCGGGAAAATGCAAATTAACACCACAATGGGCTATCACATCACACTGTCAGAATAGCTCCATCAATAAGTCAACAAACAACAAGTGTTGGTGAGGATGTGGCGTGAAGGGAACCGTTATGCACTGCTGGTGGGAAGGCAGATTGGTGCAGCCAGTGTGGAAAGCAGAATGGAGGTACCTCAAAACATTAAAAATGGAGCTGTTCTGTGACTCAGCAGTTTCACTTCTGGGAATATATCTGAAGAAACCAGAAACACTGATTTGAAAGAATATATGCGCCCCTATGTTCATTGCAGCGTTATGTACAATAGCCAAGCTATGGAAGCAGCCCAAGTGTCCATGAGTAGGTGAGTGGATAAAAAGCTGTGGGACATTTACACAATGGAATACTACTTGGCAGTAAAAAAGAAGGAATATTATCCTTTGTGACAGCATGGATGGACCTGGAGAGCATTATATGAAGTGAAATAAGCCAGTCAGAGAAAGGCAAATACCACACGATTTCACTCATATGTGGAATCTAATGAACAAAATGAAATAACAAACAAAATAGAAACAGACTCATAGATACAGAGAACAGGCAGCCGTCAGAGGGGAGGGGCTTGCGGGGCTGGGTGAAGGGGTTAAGCCCCCCCCCAAAGCCTCGTAGACACAGACAACAGCATGGCGATTACCAGAGGGAGAGGGAGCTAGGGGGAGGCAGAAGAGGGAAAAGGGAGAATAAATGGTGATGGAAGGAGACTCGACTTTGGTGAACAAACAATACAATATACAGTATTATAGAATTATGCACTCAAAGCCTATATGATTTTATTACCAATGTTGCCCCGATCAATAAAAAATATGTACAATGAACTTGAAATTTGACTTTTACGATGAAAATGTTAGCACTGCAAGGTATTAGTAAAATTCCCTTATTTTGCTGGTGAGAAGACAAGGAGTCTCTAGGAGTCACAGCTAAGGCGACCATATATGTCATCAGACAATCAAGTATACTTCTGAAAGGGAAGGGGGGTGCTCTAATAATTATGCCTATACAACTGGTACAATCAGGACTGCCCTGGGTGCACTGAAAGCGGAGTAGCCTATGACCCGTAACAAATGGGAGAAAGACGTGAAATGCTCAGGGTCACTCTGTGACCAGGACTGAAGTCCCCGTCATTGGTCTCAGTCCAGTGCTCTTTCTGCCACTTTACCATGCTCCTCATGAGGTGCAAACAAAAGCATCTTGTCATTAACATACATGAAAATGTGGAAGACTTGAGACACTTGTGCTAAAAGTGTGTGGCTTACCTCCACTTCCACTCTGACTGTGGCTAGAGAAAAAAAAAAAGAGACACATTAAATTAGTATATGAATTATTTAGTTATCAGGAAGAGAAGCAAATGCATGGAGCTGTGATACCAAAGAGAAATAATGCTCCAGTTAAAGATCTCAGGATGTTATATGTGAAGAGGGGAAAAAATTGTTCTTTATCATAAAAGATACAATAGTGACAAGGCCTAGTGGTAACAAGGCAAAATACAAAACAAAATAAACCGAATAAGAATACGTGAGTTTTTATACTACATAAAGTATTCAAAACAATGATACCGTTGGCTTCTAACATTTTCCCATAGGCAGTTTTCAGATTGTACATTATTGCATCATTCCACAGATGGACTTATAAAAAAAAGTATTATTCCAGGAGTCATATAGAAACATTATTGAGTTAAATTCAATTCTCTCTCAACATCTCATAACCACAGCATGTTACTCTTAGTAGCACAGCATCCCATTTTATTTTAGGACGGATAACATTTAAAATGCGGGTATGTTCCTCATGGGCCTTTACAGAGTGGTCCCCGATGTTCTAAGCCCAGACCGCTTGTATTTCTTATTTCTCTGCCATTCCACAGCCCTATTTTATAATCGTCTGTTTTCTCGCCTGTGTTTGCCACCAGAATGGGGATTCTGTGGCAGCAAAGGAAGTGTAAATTGTGAGAAGGGGAACACCTCAGAATTCATCTGCTTCAGTTCCCTCCATCTGTAGGAAAGAAATGGACGCTCTGAGAAATTAACCGACTTCACCAAAGCTTTTCAGCGAACGGAAGCGCTGAGGGCAGGACCTCGGGCCCTGCCTTCCTGGGCGACACTGTGTTGGCCGCACCCAGCTACACTCGCTGGACCCCAGGGTTGCCCTTTGGCTAATGTGCCTGCACCAGGCACCCGTCTGCTGTTACAACCCTACAGTATAACTCTATAGTCATCTCTGATTCCTCGGCCTTGAAGGCAGATCGAAGAAATTAGTCCGATGCAGATCTACAGTTAGTTTGAAACTAAACAAAACCATTGCTAATGGAACTTTATAGAAAAACATGCTATATATGTCTTAATACATAAGCAAGTAGTTAACTTTTGATGAAGTTAAGCATCGTCTGTATTTACATACTATTTTCACACTCATGTCCTCTGACACTTCCTTTGGAGCATAAAGCAGATAGAGTTATGTGGAGTTACAATCTGGTTGGCCAACACTCAGTTCCCAAAGAGCAAGGTTATCATAATCAGGAGCAAAGCTGCCACACGTTATTTCCTTCCTAGAGCAGTTCTTTAGTTTTCTAAAATCCTGTTTCGAATACAAAACACTGACTGGATGAAGTAGAGGTAAGCAGAGGGAGAGTGAGAAAANGAGCAGTTCTTTAGTTTTCTAAAATCCTGTTTCGAATACAAAACACTGACCGGATGAAGTAGAGGGAGAGTGAGAAAGGAGAAGGGGAGAGAAAGGGCCACCAACAAAAGGAAGGGGAAGGACTGGGAAACACACGTAGAAAAACTGTGCCAGGTGATGGAGGACTGGAATTTGCATTTGGAATTTGCCTTCCTTCAGTTTTCATGTTTATTCCAGAAATTGCCTTAAATGTGAAGAAAAAGAAGACAACTGCCAAAACCCGTGCTTTCAAGCCTCTGGCCTGCTCCGAGCCTGAAGTGCACGGTCAGCCCTCCCACCCCGGAGGGTCGGGAAGACGCAGGTGAGGAGCGCGGGACCGGAGGCATCTGCAGGAGGGAGGAGAGCAGGGAGCCTTATTCTCTCTTAGTCTTGCCAGGGCAAGCTGCCGGCTACCGTCAGCATCTTTCCTTGTTCTCAGGACAAAGCATGTTCTGTTATGAGATCCCTGCCAGCAGCAGCTGTAGTTTCAAAAACAAAATTTGTGTGGAAATTATGTCTCTTCTTTCATCTTCTTATTAAAAATGCATGAGAGGAATAGAGGCTAGTCAACGCTGTGGTTCTATACTTGTTTAAAGTACGGAGCATTAAAACCATACACCTCCTCCGGTTCCATTTATTACAGAAAAGACCCTCTGCTGCATGTTTACTAACTGGAGCACATCTTGTAGAGATGTGGTTTGCATGGACTTGATAAAATGGAAGAGGGAGTAGTGTTTAGTTTTGGGAAACAGTCACCTCTTATGGTTAAATGATGCTCAATTTTAAGAACATCTTTTTTGGTGGATTTATTATTTTTTATTGAGTATGTGCATCAGTGTATCTATGCATTTATTTATTAAGATGATTGCAGTTCTTCAGCCCCCAAATAAGAGAAATGTGTTTTTAAAAAAACATGTAAAAGATAAACATACTATAACATGGTAATATATGTGGAAGGATATGTATCCAAAAATTTCTGTGCATCTCAGACTATGACTTTTTAGAACTTCAAAGACCTTGAAACTGACATTTGCTGACTCCCAAAGTAGGTTTTGATGACTAGAACCAATTCTTGATCTGTAAACTCCAGGGTACATGCTGCATGTTTTTTTAAAAATATNAGAACCAATTCTTGATCTGTAAACTCCAGGGTACATGCTGCATGTTTTTTGTTTTTTTAAAAATATATGTTGCCTGGCCAGGCGTGGCTCAGCGGTTGAGCATCGACCTAGGATCCAGGCGATCAGGGTTTGACTCTCGGTCAGGGCACATGCCCGAGTTGTGGGCTGGATCAATGACTCTCATCATTGATGTTTCTATCTCTCTCTTCCTCTCCCTTCCTCTCTCTGAAATCAATAAAGATATATAAAAAAAAACAAAAACTTTATTGATTTCAGAAAGAGGAAGGGAGAGGGAGAGAGAGAGGTAGAAACATCAATGATGAGAGTCAGTCATTGATCAGCTGCCTCCTGCACAGCCCCCACTAGGGATCGAGCCCACAACCTGGTCATGAGCCCTGACCAGGAATCAAACCAAGATCTCCTGGATCCTAGGTCAATGCTCAACCACTGCCCACACCTGGCTGGGCCATGCTGCATGTTTTGATACACATTTGTATAATGTATGGTCATAACATGGTAAGAAGGCATTGCAGGCTATAATTCATTTTGGAAAGACAAAACTGCCAGAGAGTAACACAACAGATTTCATTGAAGGCAGGAGGTCAAGACCACAAGAGGGAAATTTAATTCTTCATGTGCATAAAAGTATGTTACTATCTTGATAGTTCATATCTTTTAAATGGTTGATAATGAAAACGTTTTTTCTTTAAGATGTGAGCTGTGAAGAAAGCAGACCCATTTCACCTGGGTGAAATCTAGAACAGATCATGTTTTGGGGACCACAGCGGTGGATTCCCAATGCCACAGCACGGGCCCAGGAAAACAAGGGTTTCTTACTGGGCTGGACACTGCCCTTTTCCTTTTCTGCCAACTTGGAGGGACTGTGATGGTACCAGGAAGGGGAGGTACTGGAGGAAAGAAGGAATGAAAGGAGAAGGGGCGTGGAAGAAAGCACAAGGAAGGCCGGAGCTAGGGAAGAGAGACGGGGGCGTAGAGAAAGGAAGCAGAAGTCTGAGGGGGAAGAGCAGGTACAGCGAAGGAGTTGGCTCCTCTCCCCTCTTGGCTCCAGAGAGGATGTGGTGTTCCCATCATTTGTGTGGGGGAGCTTCACCCTAATCTAGTGGGATGAATGGGCGATGGAAAGTTGGCCCCTTAGTTGATATGCAGGGATCATAGGGAGTTGAGTTTTTACCTTCGTATTTTAAAGAGCAAAGTAGAGTTGCAGTGAAAAGCATTCTTTTATTTTGTTATACGTTCAACTAAGAGCAACAAATGTATTTACACTCGAAGATTTCAGAGGAAAAATTTTATATCTCTTAGAACTAAATATTGTACGTCATGCCTATATTTTACAAAATTATATTTATTTTAGGCATCATATCCCTAAGGTCAAGTGAATGTTATAGGACGGCATTTTGGAATGACAACACATTTGGCAAGATCGGGCAAATGGCTTGTTATTTTTCAAGTAGCATTTGATACATATAAACAAAGAGTAAAATAAAAACAGGAGTTTCAAATGCCCTTGCACCCACGTGGGAGCTCCTGTACCGGTAATTCAGTCTAGAGGTAGAGAGCAGTGGGAAATGTGGAGGGGCCCTAACCTCCGTAATCCCCGGCGAGCGGGCCGCCTGACCTGCTCACAGGTTGCCTTGCACATACCTGCTGACCTCGTCTTGCTCTGCAACATCATCGTAAACTTCTTGGTCGTCTTCGGCAGGTCTTGATGGAATAGGACCGAGAGAGGTTTTCTTCCGTTTCAGGGAATCGTAGTCGATCTGTACCGCAGTTGTTTTAATATAGCCATCTACCAAAAGGGGAACGATTCGTGCTCACATGACTGCGGCTTCAACGGTTTAAAGTTGTGAATAAATCAATCGCGCATCTGCTCTTTAAAGCGGCCCCTTCCTTCCTCGCTTGCTGTTCTGATTTATAGGCTTCCCGTTTAGACACCCGCTTGGCTGCGCCCTGTCCAAGTTTTCTGCTGTGTGGTTTGGAGGAAGCCTGGAGGCTGTTTTCCAGATTCCACGGTGACTCGAGTGACCCATTCTCTCCCTTCTAACGTCGCCAAGGAGCCTAATGCCCCCTTCCCTCCCCGGAGTAATGTAACCGTGTGCTCTGTTCCCGGCTAGAAGATAACACCGTGAGGCCAGGGTGGAACTGGCCTGGCATTTTAAATCTCCCTAGCTTTGTCCACCCTGAACTAAACTCCTAACTTAATGTTTATGAGCAGCTCTGGAAAAATGTTTCATTTTGGCTCAAAAAGATGGTGATTTGAAGTCAAAGGGCAATTGGCACTCACATGACCCCCTGGTGGTTCTGCCCAACCATTTCCCCTCGGGGTTGTCGGTGATGCGGATTATTTCGATTTGCTCTCCTTGCTTGACGCTCAGCTCGTTCTTCCCGCCCTTGACGTCGCAGCAAGCTCGGGCTTGATGGAGGACTTCGACGGGGCCTGTTAGCTGCGCAGGGGGAGAGAGGAATGCGGCTGTGAAAGCCCGTATGCCCACAACTTGCCAACCTGCTTATGCCCAACATTACAGGTCTGAACTAGAAACGGAGGCTGGATGTCATGCCTGGTGAGTGTCCTTATAGCAGAAGCCGGGGACATTCGCAAGGGCCAGGCAGGACCAGCGCAGAACAGGGGCATGTGCTCGGGGTTCAGGAGAGAGCGGTGGGCTGTGGACCTTCGCGACGCTGCGAAAGGCTTGCAGGAGAAGCCTCTGAGAGCCCTGGCCAGTGTGGCTCGTGGTTAGAGCATCAGCCCTCCCGCTAAAGCATCTGGGGTTCAATTCCTGGTCAAGGGCACGTACCTGTGTTGCAGGTTCGATCCCCGGCCCCGGTAGAGGCGCATGTGGGAGGCAACGAATCGATGTGTCTCACATTGGTGTTTCTCTCTCTCTCTCTCTTCCCTCCCTCTCTCCCTTTCACTCTCTCTTAAGGTCAATGGAAAAAATATTCTCAGGTAAAGAGTAACAAAAAGAGGGGAAAAAAGAATAAAAGCAGCAGCCACTAATATCTGAATTCCACTTACGTAAGACAGTCCACTCTGGGCACTGTGTTTCTATGGGATATGCTTGGTTGGCAAAGGTTTTTTCTCACATTGCACTGAAGTTATTCTGCTGGCTCTATAGAAGAGCTAAGGGAGGGGCGGGGGATGTACTTGTGGGAAAAGCATTTTCTTTATTTTTTTTTTTAATTCTGTGGTATTATGTCTATGAATGTGGAGTAGACATTACCTGCTATAAATAAAATAACATTTTAGAAATAGCTTTGTAAATTAAAAAAAAAAGCAAAAACTGTTGTGAGGTTTTAAAAATTAATATCCTGAACAGTACAGTGGCTTCTTGACAGCAGGGGAATAATCTAGTTGAGACCATGAATCCTAACGATCTAATTTCCTAATCTTAAATGGATGTCTTCTAAGACAGAATTTCTCGGATCTTTCAATATGCAAATATACCTCGTGATTTTTGAAGAAGCTTTGCCTTATTTTATTGAACTTATGATGCTATGAATTGTGAGACAAATTATTATGCCACTGAGAAAGAAAGCAAACAGCTTAATTTAAATTACAATGTGCCACTAATGTCAAGGTGCATCCTAATTTCAGAATCTTAAAATGTAAAATATTTTATGTCAGAATTACAGATGTATGGTACTATGCAAGAGTTCTTATAGTTATTTAATTTATTTACTTTAATATCTATTAACATTTTGTGGGAGGAATATAGCTTGTGAAGTCCTAGTCTTAATAAGCTTTTGAGTTCATGTTTAGTGGTATGGTTCCCACACTACATTGTTCTTACAAAAAATGTTACTTGAATAAATGAGTGAAACAAAGCAAAATTGATTTTTCCAAAAGAAAAACAAAAAACTTCTCATAATTCCTTCAAAACTACAACCCTCTCTTCATAAAATGTGTACTGTGAAGATTTTCATTTAAGAAATGAGTTTTTCATAATTTCCACTTGAGAAATAGAAATGTTGGTAGCAATATATTCTGTAAGAGTAAAATGTTTTAATATTCACATTGTAATCTTAATTTTACTTATATATAGTAAGATTTTTCAAAATTCAATGAGAACCTATAAAAGATATAGTGCTTTATGTGCACTATTTTATTTAATTCCACAGCAAACTTTCGGGGGAGGTGTCATTTATTTTCACCTTAAAAAATTAAGAATCTGGGGTTCACAGAAGTTTAGTAATATACCCATGATCACAAAACTCACAGGCACAGCTGGGACTTGAATCCGCATTTGCTTAACTGACTAAGCTTTTACATTTTCCCTGTACCATGCTGTTTTGTTTTAATATAATAAATATACTGAGAAGTTATATATAAATCAAATTTTTGTCATTCAGGCTATGTAATAAATGTTTCAGGGGAATTAAATGTTGAAAGACAGCGATATGAATCCTTTCTAAAGCGAAGAATAGCCTTGTCACTCACTCTAAAGTATAGCTGATGTTCCAGACCCACACGGATGGGCCACGCCATCGAGGACGGTGTAGCCAAGAGAAGACAGCCTGCGAGCGTAGTGTGGGCGGTAGAGAGCGATGTCCCACAGTGAGAACCCCGGGGCGAGAGGGGACAGGGGAGCGGGCCAGGCAGAGGCAGAGAGGAGAGACAGCGGGCGGCGAAGGCCGCGCACCCGGCTCGCACGCAGGAGGCAACGGAAGCCCGGGCTAGAGGCCCGCAGGCCCAGCAGCTCCCAGAAACTATTTGGAGACAGATCTGGTTCCTCCCCACATGCCTGTGGCCCTGGCACCACTACAGCACGTGCCCCAGGGCCGTGCGTGGCCCAGGCTCCTAGTCCAGGGGGATGCACACGAGTGTGTAAGGAGGGGAGCGGCCACCAGGCCTCTGAGTCACCGAGTGACGCCCGCTCAGGATAAGCCAGCGCTTTCTCTTCCGATTTTATCCCGTTACATTTTTCGGGCAGGGACAAGGGAGTGTATTGGACAAGAAGATCTGTCGTGAGACAGTGAGTGCTTAGAAAGCCACCACCGAGTAAACCTCCACCGTGTGAGGTTTCGAGCGCCCTGCCGTGGGGCTCTTACTTTAAACTTCTTCTTGATCTCCTGCTCTTTCTTCTCTCGCTCCTTCTGCTCCTTCCTCTCCAGCTCCAGCCTCTTCTTCTCCTCCTTTTCCCTCCGCTTCTCTCGCTCCTTGGATGCTTCTCTGTGGACAGACATGGTTGGGCTGTTGCATCAGCTGCGGGCTCGAGGGGACTCGGCCTGCTCACGATCCCAGGGGCCTCTGCCCCCCCCGGGGGACAGTGTCTGAAGCCTGGATGAAGGGGGGAAGCCGGGGTGCTCCCCGCGCCTGGGGGTGTGAGCTCGGTCTGAAAACCCGGAGGAGGCGCACGGTGAGGATCCCTTCAGAGGGCTCTGCTTCCCTTATAGCCTGGGCCAGCGAGTGGGGGCCGCTGTCTACAGAGGCCCTGCTCTGCTGCTTGTCAGCAGGAACGGAATCTCTCTCTCCCCCTCTCCCCCCTTCCTCTCTCTCTCTCTCCCCCTCTCCCCCCTTCCTCTCTC